AAATGTGCACTGCTATTCACACACGACGGCTTTTCACGCGGCGTGAAATTTCACGCCTGACGACCGCGTGTGTCAAGCTAAAAGTGCAGCGGGATTTCCCGCGACAGTTTAGCTTGCAATGGGATTCAATGTAATCTTTCACACGGGGCGGTTTTTCACGCCGCTAACTAGTGTGGTACAGACAGTGGGTCGGCGAGGGTGTGTGTGAGAGTTAAAGCCAGTTTTTCAATAGCAGGCACGGCGTCTCTCATCTGCATGCTGTTGTGGGTTAATTTGCCTTGCACACAAGACAATAATTCATCAAAACTTTCGGCAGACATTCGAAAATAATTTGAGAATTTTACTTCATCTTCTCTTAATTTTCAGAATAGAGTGGCAAATTCACCTTCTTGTGGCCTTAATTTTACTATATTGTGAACCCAGCACCTCCTTTTATTTCTTTGCTGCCTTTTATGCAGCAAATATAAAAAGATAGCTTTCTTTTCTTTGCTATTCATAGATATAGTTCACAAAAACTAAGGACCACTTTTACGGAGAACAGCGCTGCAAGACTGATGGATTCCAGCGTGAAAAACCGCCTCGTGTGAAAGATAGCGCGGGAAATCCCGCGGCGGTTTTTTTCACGCCGGCGGTATTTCACGCCCTGTGTGAAAGAGGCTCAAGTCGTTACTGTTGTAGTGAAGCCAGTAACTTGGCGATGTGTTGGCGCTATCAACTCGTCGCATTGGACAGAAAAAAGTGTATCTCTCTGATACAAATTCAATGGGTCTTTAGCGAACAGTGCAGATTTTCAAGGCCAACTGCTCACAAAACACATTTGCAGGGCTGTCAAGTTGAATTTATTTCGATTACGTGTAGTTTCATTCAGTAAAAATACACCGCAAATGTTCAAATAAATATCTGCTAATTTAAGAAATGTCAGCATCGAGCTGAAATAACGGGCTAATTAATTAATGAGCCTTCAAGTTCATCAGTTCTCATGTAAATAGTCCACAAACAGTTAATAACTGCCCGCTCGCACCAGCCATCTTACCTTGGTCACCGATGGCGCGCGTGTGCTGCGGGCGTCGGCCGTTAGGTACAGCAGGTATGGGGGTAACAGGAAAAAGCTTGTGCATCCAGGCCAAGGCAGCCTAGCTGGGATTTGCGCGTCCCCTAGCTATTTCTATACCACGGCTTGAATGCCTCGTTGCATGATAATTGTAGCAGCATATTACCCTTCAGACGATTGTTTAGCCAATTCAGAATAGTTATTTGCTGCGTAATTTGATTCGATACTAAAATAATTTATTCACTGTCATTCGCTGTTTAGTGTCCTCTTTTAACTTCTCTGTCATTAAATGGAGTGAGTCAGCGCGAATGTTAGTTTATTGGTCAAGATATCTAGAATATATGATGGGAAATTTTCATCGTTTATCAATGAAATGAGGAATCAGTGCTTAATGATATATGTATTTATTGTATCTCTTCATGTTAGTGCAAAATTCGTACCTATAGTTACCCATGCAAACACGCACTATTTTTTCTGCTATACTTCTTTAAAAAATTAATTAAATTACGTCGTAATTGAAAACCTTCTCTCTAGTTTTAGATAAATTATAGATATACCTGTATGATAACTTCGATCATAAATTATTCGAGAATTCGTGAACATGTGTGGCTTGTTTATTAACTTGAGCAACACTGCAAGGAAGAGAATAAGTTTTATTAAAAGTGTATACACTTGCCCATGTTTCACAGAAGCTCGGTCCTCTTACGAAAACTAATAC